TACGTAATGAAATCGCATATAAATTTATTTAAGTTTATTCAACAAAAAACGTGACAATTTCTGGACGTTACTATTCGGCGAAGGAAAATCACATTTTCGCTACTTTTTATTTACGCTACCAATGGTACAATGCACTGATTTTGTATGCATTGAAGGGCTAAATATACTGACACTGAATGTACTGTTAATACTGTACTTAATACAGTGTATCACAGTTTACACATGTATCGTATTTATGGCAATAATGAATGCATTGAAAATGCAATTAAAATAGTTTTGGTGTGAAATAATAATTTTGTTCTTGAATGAGTTGTTTGAAAAAAGCAATGATTTATTTTTTTATTTGATAAAAATGTGTACATTTAATGCTTTAATGAATTTAATACTAATATAATAAAGCTTATAATTACTTCACTATTAGTGAACTACACGTACAATAATTTTGGCATTTTTATCCATTAATTTAACAAATATTTTAAATCTATAATTAGGTTAAACTCTGATTTAATTAAACTGCATAATTAGAGTAGTAATAAAAATTTACAATGTATTTTTAATTTGAGTTAAATTATTAAACACACAAATAACATCTTAAAACTTTATTGTTATTTGGTACATTTAATTAGTTTTATAACTTAACAACCAAGATAAGAAATATAGTAACCGTCATAATGTTATTTTATAATATAAGTTGTTAAATGCATTACTTGTAAAATTATATACAATGCAGTATATTTACAGTTATGCGAGCATTTGTTAAATTATAGACATTTTACTAATTATGTTTTAATGTTAACTAATGGTATTTTTAAAAAATTCATTTCACTTATTTATTTGATATTCATTATAAATTTTGTTTTGTACATCAATGTTTTAATAAATTTTACCAAAAATATTATTATTTATCATAATGAATTAAAATTAGAGGTAAATATAACATAATTAATCATTTATAAAAATTTCAAAACAATTAATTAATCAAAATATTAGTCAAACCAATAATGAATAGAAAAGACAGTATCGATAGATATGGCGATGATTTGTGTCAAATAATATTGAGTTATTTATCACTCGAAGACCGGTTCCGATGCGAATGTGTGTCCAAACAATGGCAACGATTAATATTTAACACACAAAACGAGTTAACGTTACAAACAGATATGGTATTGAAATGCAAAAAGCACCATGGGCAAAAATATCGACGAGTATTTGGTACAATGTTTAGCAAATTGCCAAACATTCACTCTCTCCGCATGTTTTTCATAAATGAAAAGTTTGATAAATGTTTTTTACATCTAATCTCTCAACACTTCCAGCGGATAATTGACATTAATATGTCTGTCGAGGGTATGATTGTCGGCAAACCTTTAAAAACGTTTTTTCAAACCCTTTGTCCACAATTGAAAGCATTTAACTTTCATATCAACCGCTATTATGGGTACCACAAGACTATCAATGAAAATCTAATGCAATGCAAACATTTAGAGGAAATTAAATTGTTTAAGTTTTATATCTATAGAAATAGTTTAGGTGTCAATAATACACCACTTTTGCCGCTAGTATTTGATGAGAGAAACGATATATTATTCCCGAAACTAAATAAATTTCGCTTTGAATACTCCGACGATTTTAGTGACAATTTTGTCCGTTTTGCTGGTAATTACCAAAATTCATTAAAATCGGTTAATATTGATATGTATTGTATGTCTAATGTATTGGATGACAGAAATAGACAATCATTGACTGCATTGATGAAAGGATTGTCACAAATGCCACAATTGATTGATATCAAGTTAACACAAATACATGTCAACGATTGCAATAATGATATGCTTTTAAATGGATTGAAACAAATTGGTCTAAACTCAACAAAGTTGTCGTCACTATCGCTACAATTCCGGCACAAAACCGGCAAACTATTGACACAAACCATACAAATAGTAAACGAAACTTATTGGCGATTAAAAAGATTAGAAATCAGTGCTTATTCTCCTAATAAAGAGTTTGTATTACCGGACAAAGCGTTGGATAAATGCAATCGTTTAACGCATTTAAAACTGGATTCAGTGATAAAATGGTTAAACTATTCAAGCGATACATTTTTTGCTCAAATTGCAAACAATATGTCTAAATTACAATATATTGACGTTAGTTATTACGCAAACACCAATATAACCGACGATATACTGGTCTTACTGTCAAAAGTGTCCAAAATTAAAGTTATAAAACTTAATAACTATTTTTATACTTCTAGAGATATATTGCCCGCACCAAACATACAACATATTACCGACAATTGTTTTAAAATAACTTCAATTGAAATTAAAAACACAAAATATCTCAATTTATAACTTTATTAACAAAATTACATTCTATTGGTTTATAACAATTTTACCAATCAATCACATTATTGTTTGTGAATAATTATTTCACAAAATTATTTACTTATTCTGTAGATTCTGTAGACTCTAAACTAGACTTTAGTTTAGAGAACTTATCCATTATCTCAATGCCTTCTATGTATTGTTGTTTCAAATTCTGTAATTCAATTCTTATGGCTTTGTTGGGATCATCGCCTATGATATCATCAATGGATGGGAACTGTTTGCGAATCTGTACCTGAAGTTTAGTGCCAATGTATTTACACGTAGAGTCTATTAACTCATATTGACATAGTTTGGGCAAACGATCTCTAAATTATATCAATTAAAATATAAATTAATTAAATAGTGTTTCAATTTATTCAAACACTTTATGACATACTTGAAAGTTTTCTTCATTATAACAATGTATGCGTTGACTAATCTCTTCACTTCGTCCACTTGTGTGGACATATGTTCGGGAAAAGCCATGTCTTCATCGCCGGCACCGATACTCAGATCCGATTGCGAGTTACGTTTCAAAGACAAGTTAGACACCGATTCGTTGTCGCCATTAGAGATCGCGGTTTGATTGTCACCCGAACTCGGCTTAACCCCCGCCTCCTCTAACCATACGCTCCACTTTAAGGCCAACTCTTCCGTAGGGAATACTAACTCGACTTCGTTTATCTTATTCAGTGATAGAGTGAGTTTCCTATTACTATAATATTTAAATAAAAATATATTCATATTATTTTTACAATAGATATAATATTTTTATAAAATGTTTACGTTTTTGATAAGACGATAATCACTGAGTGATCGGATTCTGTGCT